CCCTCCGGTCGCGCTCCTGCCGTTGGCACCGGACAGGGCGGCTGCAGGGCTGTCAGAGTTTCTCCTGTTCGCCAGCTTTTGTGAAAGGCCAAGGGGTCCAGCCCCTGGAGACCAGTGGGAGGCCAGAAATTAAAAAGATATTTTGGGTTCCAGGTGTGCGGCTACCCTCTCCAAAACTATGATTAGAAGCCTAAATTTAAGGATTTTTATTTGCTTTAAATCTCATTAGGTTCCACTAACATAGCATGCGTAAGAGTTTTAATAAGTGGGATCTGCTAATGAGAACTTATATTTGGCGCCGGTGGAAACGGTACCCGTGCTTTCTTTGGAGGATCCAACCATCATCCCATCCTTCAACCCATTTGCCCCAGATGATGGCGACTGTGGCTCTGACTCACTGCTTGACCCACTCCTCAGGTCAGGCCACTGGTCGCCTTATGTCCCTGCATGCATCTGGGATGGGTTATGGAACCCAAGTTTTGCCAATCAGAGGCAGACAAAACAAAACAAGACATTCTGGGCCCTTCCCTCCCCTCCCCTTCCCTTCTTTCCTTTCCTCCTCTCCTCTCCCTTCCTTCCTCTTTCGTGCTTTCTTGCTTGCTTTCTCTTTCTTTCTTTCCCTCTCTAAAGGAAGTGGACTCTTCCACTGACCTTCGCGTAATGAAGGTGTGAACTCAGAGCCTCTTGGGTTACCATGTGACATCTGGAAATGAGGCTAATGCTCAAGGGAGGCAGACCTGGGAGTTGGAGAAAAGCGAATAGTTAAACCCAGATGGAGGTTTTCGAGCTCTGAATCCAGTTATGGCTGAAACAGTTTCTACCTCTGGATATTTTCAGAGTCAATAAATTCGCTTTTGGCTCATGGCAGCTTGGGTTGAATTTTCTGCTTATTGAAACGGAAAGAGACCCAAATGATACAGAAATGAAATATTTTGGTTGCTTATTAACTTTATGAGAGCATTTGGATTTCTACCGCAATACCTTTAATTAGATTCCAACGTCCCGAAACAGTGAGTTGCATTTTTTTTAAACCAGAAAATTGTATATCCTTCTTGTATGTGATTGAGAGGTTGCCAAAGTGACTGAACCAATTGCTCCTTCTAGAAACCTACAAAACTGTCAGAAAGGTAGAATTATTTGGCCGGATAATGTATTAGACTGATTTTATTTATTTTATTTTTTAGTTGGAGACTCCCCTGGGAGTCTTGTGCCTTTCAGGGATTTTAGGACCCAAGATTTATTTGTATATACTCCTTGCCCTAGACAGCCAGCCTTGTCTTCCATACATTCATCATTTTAGTCATCAAAAAATTATTGAACACTGACTAAATGGCTCTGGGAATACAATAATATTGAATAAAGAAAAGAAAAGCAAGAACATTCTCTGCCCTCAGTTGCTTGTAATGTATTGATAGAGGAGTAGGAGGTCAGGCTTTTCTACAAGATTTCAGAGAATGAACAAGATTCATGAATCTATAAATTCCTAAATGTTTCAGGATACGTAGGCAGGTTCAGAAATGGCATTTTTTTCTTTTTCTATCTTCTCTGCACAAAAACAAACAAACCTTAGAAATATCTCTTCTACAAAATAAGGTGGTTTATTGTTTTTATAACTGTATTTTGGATTTTCTTCAACTATGTTGGATCAGAGACGGCCCCTCCCAACCATCCATCTGGAAGTACAAACACCTTAGGTTATCTTTCCCCATGAAATAGTCGAATCTTATATAAGCTCTATTCCAGCAACTCCTGTCTGAACACATATGATGTCTAAACCAGGGTAGTAGCAGATTGACAGGTTGCCTATATTTCCTTTCACTCCTGGGCTACTTGCTCAGCAGAGAGGTAAGAAGGGAACAGACAGCATTGCTAGCCGTTGCTCCCTGTAGCCCTTCTTTCCTTTCTTCTGTCACTAAGGCGGGAACATTAAGGCCAAGGAGCAATTTTCCCTTTGGAGAGGTATTCCAACTGAGTCTAACACTAGTTATAGACAACAAAAACTGTGGCAGTGTCCAGGCAGAGGCGGAGAAGACCTCTGATCCAGGGCCTCACATTTGTGAAGCACTTCAAAGTTAATCATCTACAAATGAGCTTATGTAATTTTTTTTTTTTTTTTTTTTTTTGAGTTGGAGTCTCACTCTGTCACCCAGACTGGAATGCAGAGGCTGCTCCAGGCCACCGCAGCCTCGACCTGCTGGGCTCTGGCGATCCTTTCGCCTCAGCCTTCCAAGTAGCCGGAATTACAGGCATGCGCTACCACGCCCAGCTGATTTTTTGATTTATTGTAGAGATGAGGTCTCGCTGCCCAGGCGGGTCTCAAACCCGCGGGCTCAGGTAATCCACTCATCTCAGCCTCCCAAAGGCACGGGATTACAGGCTGAGCCACCGAGCCCGGCTATGTAATGTTTTTTAATAGGATAAGTGGATTTTGTTTAGTTTCAAGTTTTAGGGTATACGGCAGTTTTTGTTACCCCCCCATTGTCATTTCTATTATTCCTATTTACATAAATACTGAGAATCTCCAAAAATAAAAGAGGCTCAAGCTTATACCAACTTCTGAAAAGCCCTGAGACAATATGAAATATTTTCATCAAAGGCCCAGCTTCAAACACCAAAGGAAATATCTGCCTGTAAATTACTTACAGAAATAATTTTAAAAAGAAGAAAATAAACAATGTACTTCATATATTAACATAATCAGTCCTTATATTTAGTCACTCAGATAAAAGTCATTGAATAGCACCTCATGGTGCTGTAGAGATTTAATAATTTATATGGCCGGGCTTGGTGGCTCAGACTGTAATGCAAGCATTTTGGGAGACCGAGGCGAGTGGATTGCCTGAACCCACGGGTTCAGGACCAGCCTGGGCAACTTGACAAGACCTCGTCTCTACAATAAATCAAAAATTAGCTGGGCATGGTAGTGTGTACCTGTAGTTCCGGTTACTTGGAAGGCGGAAAGCTCGCTAGAGCCCAGCGACGCTGGGGTGATGGTGAGAGTACCACTGCACTTCAGCCTGGGCGACAGAGTAAGACTCCAACTCAGGAAAAAAATAAAAGTAATTTATGCTTCATGTTAAAAATTATTTGTATCTTTGGATGGGTTTTTGTCCTTCATCTAAATGCTTCTATGTGGAGGGTGCTGATTGTAAAAGACTTTTGGGGAACTCATTTTAATTTGCACTGTTCTCTTCTATTTTTCGATGTCTAAATTAAAACCATATGTTACTCTATTATGACAAGTATACAAAATACAAGTTTTCGTAAAGGATACATCAGTATTATGACACAAACAGCTAATAAACATAAGTATTATAATTTCTTTAAAAGTCTTCAGCTTGGATTTTACATTAATTAATAACATTGCTAAGCTACTTAAAGGTAATGAAGTGAAGATTTCACAGAAATCATATTCTAGCTAGGAACTGCTAACTAAATCCAAGGAAATGTACTTCAGCTTGCTTGACTGTCTCAAGAGATGTTAAAGTGAAAATACATCAAAACCAAAAACTTCAGCAAAATGGTTAGTTGGGAGGAAGAGAAATGGGGGAGGTGGGTATTGCGGCTCCTCTAGAGTCACAGGAAGATGAATTTTACCTGCTTCTAAGTCTCCTTGAAGCATTTCCTGTGAAAGTAAAGAATGTTGACTAGGTAGTATGAAAGTATCATCTTATCTTATGAAATGCCAATTTAAAGCTTAATAGACTAGATTGGAGCAGTGATTCTCAAACATTAGTGTGTCTCAATATTTCTGGAGTGCTTAATAAATCACCAGTTGCTTAACCCCACTCTCAGAGTTTCTGATTTGGTTGATTGAAAGAGCCTGATCATTTCCATTTTAACATGTTTCCAGGTGATGAAAATGCTGCTTGTCTGAGCCAACATTTTGAGAACCCCGGATTAGAGCATTATTGA